GCGGGTGTCCTACGCGTACCCCCGTCTTCCTCCCCTTGCAGGTGGGCATGGATTACAGGAATTGCATCCTGCATCCCGGCGGTTCCCTGGATGCTTCCGACATGTTGAGGAAGTTCCTGGGCCGCGAGCCCAAGCAGGACGCCTTCCTGGCCAGCAAAGGACTGAAGGTGGAGAGCAACTCGCTGCCTTCGGCCTGCTGAGAAACTGCTCCAGCCCGTTTGAGTCAAGCCAGCTCCTTCGTCTACGCACCAGTCCTCTCAGGCCAAGCAGCACCCGGTACTTCTGTCACCAAACGCGTCCTGGGCCAAGCCCCGCCTGGAGCTGTTCCTCCAGGATCCTGCTCCGAGCTCGCCCTGGGCTTCGGGAGCCCGGTTCAGCCCTGGTCCAGGGCTCTGCGGTGACAGCTCTGCAAAGGGAGTTGAATTGCCTTTGTCACCCCCCCCCGAGGGGGACGGGGCTGGCGGTAGCCCACACAAATTGGCTGAACTTTGAACCTGATTTCTGCACGAGGGTGAGTTTCGGCCTCGTTTATATAGCCGGGGAGGAGGGTGAGAGGAGTTACCAAACTTGAATCATTGTTTTAAAATCCCCCTTTTTTTTTTTTTTTTCAAGAAATGAGACAAAGACACCAGGCTTGGCTTGTTTTGTGCCCCGGGGCAGACTTGCTGTTCTGAGCACGAAACAAGCCGCCTGAGAAGCTGCTTTGGGAGTCGTGCTCTCCCCGTCTTTGGGCAGCTGGCGGCTGTGGAATAAAGATGGGGAGATCCCAGAGCTTAAAAACCATTGCATTTACTGGAACGTCCTGCCCTGAGCCCCTCGGACGTTCCTGCCGGGGCAGCAGGCCTGGGAGGGGGGGCAGAGATGGCCGGTACAGCTCTTCCCAGAACAGGGGGTCTGGGCGGCGTGGCCTGGCCCCCGCGCGCTGCCAGGCGTCCTCGGGAGGTTGTGCCTTTCCCCAGGCTGTATCGGAGCTGCTGGGACCCCGCGCCCGTGGCCGTCTTAGGGCAGCCGATGCCTTCTGGGCTCAGGCCACGGCAGCAGAGGGTGCGTTGCTATTGCTGTCACCTCTAAGCCAGGGTGGGACAGGGGAGGGCTGTGGGGAGAAAAAAAAAAAAAGCGGACAGCTTCAAACAACACGGATGCCGGGGATAAAAATATCACGGGGGCTTTGTGCCA